ATCAAGGTCCTACTATTTTTTTCTTTTTTTAACAACACAGTACAATTATTTTGGATTTTATCTGTGTTGTTACATGTACATAGCATTAGTTCATTATTTTAAAGACCAAGTAATAGTATGTTGTGCAGATACATGACAATTAGTTTATCCAGTCACCTCTTGAAGGACATTTGAGTTCATTAGGGTTATTACAAATAGATCAGCTATCAACACTGATGTCTGAGTCTTTGTATGGACATACTCTTTCATTTCTTCTTGGTATATACCAAGAAGTGGAATGGTTTGATCATAAGGTAAGTGTGTATTTAAGAAAATGCCCAAATGTTTTCTGAAGTGGTTATACTGTATTGCATCCCCACCAGCAGTTTATGAAAGTTCTAGTCTCTCCACATCTTCAGTAGCACTTGGCATTGTCAGCATTTTTAGTTTTAGTTATTCTAATAGATGTGTGATGATATCTCATGGTTTTCAATTTGTATTTCTTTCATGACTAGTGATATGGAGCATCTTTTCATATGCTAATTTGCCATCTATATCTTTTTTAGTGAAGTTTCTGTTTGGTCTTTTGTCATATTAAAATTGGGTTGCTGTTTTCTTAGTTTTGAGTTTTTAAGATTTTTTTTTATATATTCTTGATACAAGTCTTACCAGATACACCTTATAATTTTTATCATAATCAAAAATAATACAGGAAAATGATCTGTAAAGGTAGAAAGGCTATGGAAGCCTTTAGATTCTCCTTCTAAAAGTCCAGAAAAACTAAGTACATAAAAATGAGGAACAGAAAGGTATTGAGTTCAAATTTCATACAATGATACTCTAAGATAATGAGGAGTTGCTAGCACTCTGCCTGATACATAGGACCAACCTCTGCCATAATAAGGTAGATTGTTGCCTTTAATAGATAAAATCAGAAAATAACTCAAAAGGCCTATTATTGAATCTTGAATTTATATCATTAAATATTTGTTTTTAACCTTAATAATATTAAAAAGCATTTTATACTACTAAAGAAGATGATATAAAGTTACCAGCAGTTCAATAAACATAATTTAATGTACTCTTTTGTGATATGATAGAGAACTTAGAGTAACTTCTCAGGGAAATGGACTACTCAATAGATGGAATAAGGGTCTCAAATAGAAGAAGGCAGAACAATAACTTGATGCAATCATGATTCTACCAGTCAGGTGGAAAAATAAATGAGATAAAACAAATGCTTGGCTCTGACAAAGTATCAGAAATAGGAAATCTTACTGATAAAATGTTTATGACTCAGGAAAAAAATACAAGGAAGAAAGCAGATGGAGAAATGGAAGCCAAAAACTGGTGTGTATGGGGTTGGGGAAAGGGATGGCTAGAAAGAGAATAGGGAAGAAAAAAGCAACACAGACGATTAAAACAATCTTTTTTAAAGGTTTGCTCCCTCTTTTTGAAAAATTTAAAAATATTTTCAGCAAACAATATTGCTTCTCTCCTGGTTCTGTTTTATTCAGTCTTTCTTTCTACACTGTTGTCTGTTCTTTGTTTTGTATCCTAGTTTTGCAGGGGGAATTCTGCCTAACCAGACACCAGGGGAACTGCCAGCTATGTCAATCAGCTGTCATAACTAGGGCCAGAGACCAAAAAAGAACAGCATAAGCCAAAGAGGAAGAAAAAATAAAAAAGAGACAGAGATGGTGTGTAGGAGTATGTAGTGGGCGGGGGTTGGGGTAGGCAGGAGGAGCTTGCTGGGCTGGGAAAACACATTTTACCCATTTCTCCTGAGTCACTATGGCTAGACTTTTTAAAAGCTCTGTGGGAAATCAAGAGTACAGGCTTGGCTTATCAGTGATTTCACTGAGCCAGGATTCAGAAAGCTGAAGGGACATCCTGTACCAAGCTCTGACCTCAATAGAATCCCCACCCTGAAGATCTAACAGAAAATGATTTGCCTCTTTTGTGTAGTAGTTCTGGAAAATATGAAGGCTAGGGCAGGCAGCAAGGAAAAAAATTAGAGTTAAAGACTGATTTCAAGTAGAAGACAGATAAAGTAGTGGACATATTTATGTATGAAATGCAGTATACTGAAAATTTTACCAAGCCATTTGGTTGTGTTTGGCTTAGTTTTGGGAAGTATCATTAGGCCTTAATTTCTGCCAAACCCAGTTAGAATTTGCCCAGGCTGATGCCCAAATATAGACCTTGAGTTCAGTGTTTTGTCTACCATGTGCATTGTTAATCCAGAATGAGTTTGCTCATCATTGCTATTTCCAGACATAACATAAAATGGCAGGACAACAGTAATTAAAATTAAAAATATGAAATAACCTTTGGCTAGGGAAATTTTGGCCCAACTATTTGAGTTCAGTAGCATAAGACATCTAAGTTCATAACCGTAGCTGAGTTCTGACATCCTCTGTGACATAATTTTTTTTCCAACTGATAATGTTCTATGTCCAGGAATCCTGGATAACTTAAGAAGAATGAATTCATGTTTGTTCTCTTTACGCATAACTTGTTTCAGTTACTGGCTCCAGTTTTGATTGATCCATTATGATTACGTGATACAATATTAATATAGATTTGAGTATGCCAAGGTTTGATGAAGAACTATTATATATTAATTCCTGATTATATCATTCTAATATATGATATCTTATATTAAAAGATAATCCAATTTAGCTAAAGAAGAAATTAGACTACATGATCCTTTTATTATTGCTTATAGGTATTGAAACTATAATACATATTCTTTGGGTAATCAATATATTAGAATCAATTATACATTAACACTTATGAGGTTAGAGTTTCTAAGGCCTTCACAAACATGAATGATATTTCCAATGCCAAATTTGTCTTAAAAGACTTTCACTTAAGTGAAATATAGATAATAAATTCAAATAGCCACATGCCTATCTGTACATCATTATTGAAGAACACTCATTTCAGCAGAGGTTGGCAGTTACACTCCTTAATGTGTCTCCAGAGCCATATCCTTCATGTACTTTATCTGAAATATTTTTATCTATTTCTGGCCAAAACCACTTTTGATCCAAATAAAATCCATTTTTTAATTTGTGGTCTCTCATGGGGAAATTCATGTCTATTTGTGATTATTAAGTTCAGGGCAAGGATGTTTTAAGCAGCTACTTCCAAAGAATTCAAAATCAAGCTTGCAAAACTCAGAAGGCAAGATGTTTTTCTTAATATGCAGTTCATTTTGAACAAAGTTGCAGTCAATATATGCACCATAACAGGAAATGGTGTGCATGCAATAATATTTTTACAGTAAGTAACATCTTGTCATTTGTCAACACATTTGTCTTTTATATCCCCCTGCAGCTAAATTTGGTTAGAAAAAAAAATCCTATATAAAAAGACATCTATGTATCCCTGTATTTCTAGTACTCATCTTTGAAAGGCCAAAGCACTTGACAAGCTGGCTATTTTAGCAAAAAATGATACAAAGGGATAGAAAGAAGATATAAAAGGAGAATATCAGCTTTTTTTCTTTTCATTTTTCCTTTTTTTTTTTTTTTTGTTTAAACTCTAGACTTCTCTGAAACTGTCAATTTGTCAGCCAATCAGGTCAAAGATCAGTTTGAAAATGGGTAGCCTGCAGAGATCATCTCTCTGCTCCAAGTTCCGAGTTGTGTTTCTTGAGGTGAATTTATTTTTAAATAAGTCTGTTTGAATATTTTTTTGGAAACATGCAACACAACAGACAACTTCTTTGGTATTCAGAACCCAATAGTGTAACTTGGTGTGCTGAATTCACAATGCAGACACAGAGAAAAGAATAGGGTCTAGCTCTCAGGAAGGATTAGCATAGAAAAATGTATGGAAGGAGGAATGTATAGAAAAATCTTTATTCATTCATTTACTCATTCATTCATCCTAACTTTTGTAGTAAGGTCACACTCAAATAAAAGTTAAAATTAATTAGTCAGGTGTGATGATGCACACCTGTAATCCCAGCAGCTTGGGAAACTGAGGCAGGAAGATAGTGACTTCAAAGCAAACCTCAGCAAATTAGCAAGACTCTATCTCTCAATAAAATATAAAAAGAGATAGGCATGTGCTCAGTGGTTCAGTATCTCTCAGTTCAATCCCTGGTACAAAAAAAAAACTAATTAGAGCTGTAATTTAAATATAGGTGGACATTTCTGCATAAAAAAGAATAAAAATGTGGCATTTAAGACTTGAAACAATTTTAGCACTCCCCAATTAAACACCAATATACATAGATGTGCAAGCCCAAGCACGTGCACACTCATTAATCTCCCCAAGCCTCAAGTTGGAAAATTCTGTACTTCATAATTCTGTATATTTCTCCAAGGTTAAAGTTTCTATCTAAATTCCAGACATTTGACTCCTCTTCTCATTCCGTAATGTATTTGGAAAAATTTTCCATAAGCCTTCCCAAAGACCAGATAAAAATGCCCTTTCTCTGCCCCCTGTCATTCTCACATTTCCTGTACACACCTACTTCTTGGACAGCTGCATTTTATACTAAGTTCATGTCCTGACTGAAAATCTCTGACTTTAAAAATGAGGAAAGTTTTGAAGAGAGGCTCTTATTTGTAATCTTAGAAAAGAAAATCTTTTCTTCTTGGTGTAAGAAGCTGATAAGTTAGCCTCTAAGTCCAGAATGGGAGAATATGACTCACTCTAAAATTTCCTTGCTTTTTTTTTAAGTAAAGAGCATTCTTTTCGGATTCTTATTTCCTCCATATGAACAGGAATTAGGAAAAAATATTATGTCTTATCCTAGAGTCAAGTTAACAACAGCAAGTGTCTTTGATAAGTGTTTACAACATCCCTAGGTATATTTGACCTTATGATTTCTGGGATTTTCCATAGGGTAACATTAACAGAAGGAGTCTTAAGTGTTAACTTCCAGTATTCTCTATAACTCAGTGTCATTTCCAGTTGAATATACTCTGTAGAGGTTGTAGTTCTTGGAATAAGGCCCCAGAAATCACATTATAGAGTCAGTATGTAGGCATATGTCTCACCTGATGTGCTTTCTGTTGGCTCAGGGGTATATGGGGGAACTCTGTTCAGAGTCATTGACAGTTCTTTAGTTCTCTCTAGGTTAATTGTTATCTTCATTCCTCCTTAGTTGTCTCCTGGGTTTTGAAATTCTGTTACTGTTCCCCTTAAGTATAGCCAGTAGAACCTGAAGTTCACAGTTAATATTAACAAGGTCAACATTCTGGAAACAAGGCACTGTGGCAAATTCCTGTGTCCATAGAGACAAATGACATCTATTGGACAGTTCTGAAGATATAGATCAGTTTCTGCTTAGCCATCTAATCAAGCATAGGTTATAATTCAGATACTTGCCTACATTCTTTAGGCAAGTATCTGAATTTTTTTTGGTAATTTGTGAGGCTCCTCATAATTTTCCTATACTTATTTATAGGAAAAATTGTGAAAAATAAGTTAAATGTATATTTGCCTCTTTTTCATAACAGCCTAAGAAATATTGTTGTTCATGTTTGTGATTCTATCATTAGAAAAATAACCTAGATTATAAAATTCCACATTAGACTGTAGGTTTCTTAAAGTCAGAGATATTAGTTATACCATAACAGATGAAACAGTGCTTCATGTACAATAGGTGCTAAATAAAATTATAATAATGCATTACTACATACTTAGTTTTCTCTAACAATTTTCCTGGAAGTTTCCCCAAGTGTTTTACAAAAATAATGTTGCTAAAAGTTTTAGAAGTAATAGAACAATAATAACCCCATTTAATTGAGATGGAAATTGAGGTTAAGTATGTCCAAGTGACTTCAATGGGGCCATAATACAGAAACAAGTTAGTAAATTTTTGAAGTATTATGTGGTTTTTAGCTAGAGAACAGATAGTTTCACTAATGTAGCCTTTTCTGGGATGAACATGGCTATGTGGAGAAGAAAAGAAATGGCTGGAAAAACATTGGAAAAAACCTGGAATAACTCATTTAATTTCATTCTCTTCAGGAATTCAATACAGCTTTATGTTTATGTTTGGTACCTACTAGAAGATCTGTCTCATAGTACATATTTATGACATGTATAGGAGAGGATTAAGACATATTCTTGACATTCTGGAATATAAACATTGTCTCTAGAAACCTTTTTAAAATGCAAACAGAATTAGTGTTATGAAGTAGTAAATTAATTGTATAAGCACTAATTAAATACTAGTCATTTCATTAGCAAAGATCAGGACCCTAAAGTAAAAAGACTTAGAAAGGTAAATGATGATGATGGAGAATGGTGAAGTTGAGGGCTTTGGGCATCATCCAAGAAAAAGTGCTAAGGGGTGGAGGTAGGGAGAGAGAATCCCTGGTCCATTACAGGAAGTGTATTGATCCTAAGATCCTATCTGGGGAGGGGATATTGAAACACAGCTCTCTTGATCTGGTCCTCAGCTCTTCTGTAGTGATGATGAGGTATTGTTTGAAGGACTAGTAATGAGGTGTGGGAGGAGGGATGTGATGCTTCAGGGTACCTGTGACCTTTCTGAAGAAACAGGGAATAGTGATTCTTTAGAAAATATCCGTCTGTTTTCAAGAATAAACATTTCTAAAGGTTTTATTCTTAAGGTGTTTCCTTGACTTTTGACAATTCATATTGATAGTCCCATGAAAATTTTCCCTTTGTGTTATGGTTTAGATGTCAGGTGTTCCCCCAGAAACTCATGTGTGAGACAATGCAAAAAGGTTTGGTGGAGAAGTAATTGGATTATGAGAGCCTTAACCCAATCAGTGAATTAATCCCTCATGGGATTAACTGAGTGGTAAGTAAAGGCAGGTAGGGTGTGGCTGGAGGAGGTGGGACATTGGGGGTATGCTTTGGGGTATATATTTATATCTGGCAAGCGAAGGTCTTTCTCTCTCTTCTTTCTGATCATCATGTAAGCCACTTACCTCTACCACACACTTTGGTCACAATATTTAACCTCATCTTGAGCTCAGAGGAATGAAGCCAGCTGTCGATGGACTGAGACCTCTGAAACCTCAAGCTCTCAAATAAACTTTTCCTCTTCTACATTTGTTCTAGTCGAGTCTTTAGTCACAGCAGTGAAAAAGCTAACTAAAAAACTTTCTAAATTAGAAAAGTCAATTCTAACTATAGCCAGTTCTGTTGCTGCTCTGGTTTACTTAGGAATATGATTATAATACCAAATTCTTTCATAAATATTTTCTTTTATATCACTATGCCATGCTGTTGTATAAACATATGTTTGCTTTTCTGATTTTTAAAAAAGCAGACTACCATTTTAAACAAATAAATGTTAATATGTAAAAGATGAAATAATATAGTAAAGTGATAATATTTCAAGTAATAGTTAAAGTGGAATGCTTTAATAAAACAATATACTAGAAGCAAGGCAGCATTGGGGACTACAGTGGATACTTCCTTGAATTCAACTAATATTTGAAAAACTGCTAAGAAGAATTGTATTTTAGTTTATTGGTCCTAAATCCTACTTGAATTTGACTTTGCTATTTATTGTACAGATCTATGAAATGAAAAGAAATACAAATCAGTTTGGATTTACTTTTAATTCTTGGAGATGGGTTGGTTCTAGAATTAGATGGTCAAGAAGAGGAGACTATTTTAGATGGAAATAATGGGGAAATATTTAAGCCTAGGACATGAATTTTGAGATTTTTGGTTTCTAGTAACAGAAAACTACTCCAGCTATTTAAGCTGGTATTGAGATTTTATTCTTACGGAATACAGAGACATGACTGGGCACCTGTAAAAGCACAGCCAGTTTATGGAAAGGGCTTGAAACAGTACTAGGAAAGCCAGAAAGTACTCTATCCCTAACTCTTTGGTGTGGTACAGTTATGGCAAGATTGCTATAAGTCACTAAGTCAATCTTAAAGTAGGAAACAGAAACTTTATTCACCAGCCAGCAGTCTGGATCCATCAGCTGGCAGGCCAAGGGGCAGGCAGCAAGTCTACACCCTTTGACTCCCTCCTGGGTTTGAGTACACCTTTTATAATCCAAAACCATATTAATCATAAGTGGTTGTTGCTATTTTAAAACCATAAACTAATGTCATAAGATCTAAAATCATAAACAGAAGGGAGAGGGGTCAAAATGTCTCTAGTTGAATGCAAGTTAAAGAATGGTTACTAACATCTAGACAATCAATCTCTGACATGGTACACTGTCCAAGAAAAATGGAAACCAAAAAGAGAACAATTACATTGAGAGAATTGCCAATTTGTGTTGCCAAGCATGCTATGCTAAGCAACTATTGATGGGTACGCAGGGGGGGGGGGTGTTCCCATGGGAGAAGCATTTCTTACAAGATGTGGAGTTTCAGGGTAAATTGGAGTCTATCCCACCCTGTTTGGTTATTGCCCATAACAGTACACATGGCTGGTGCACACCTCTCAGAGGCATTCATTATATATCCAGTTGAATATGCAGAAAAACTGAATTCTGTAATGATCTAATTCTTAGTTCCTGGGAGAAGGGGATAGACCCCACTTGTATCAGCTTCTCATCAAGATCCAATCACCTCTTTCCAGTGGAGTTGGGTAGGGTGAATGGAGAAGGGAAGTAAGGAAGACCCTCCAGTTGGGGACCTACTCCTGTGAGCAATTTCCCAAGAGAAGTTAAGTCAACTGCACAGGGAAAATACCCAGAGGTTATATAGAGTTTGAAATGCAGTTAAATAAGCTGCAACAGAATAGTGGGGAATCAAAAGGCAAAGTTAAGGGGAAAAATGGCAGTACAGACAAAAGTAAGTTTTTAATCAATAAGGACTGGGGTCAGTCATTTTTAAACTTCTCAGTGAGAGTACTTCCTCTGCTTGGTCATTTGCATAGGGGAGCACTCTAAGGATTTCACCTCCCGGCTAAAGCATTTCCTGACATCATTTCTCACTGATGCCTTTAACCTCTAACCCTCTGCATTGCTTGTAACTTGTATCTCACTGACACATATATTTCATGTTCCTTCAGAGTAGACTTAATGTTTTTTGTTTCTTTGTGACTCATCTTCTTCCAAAAGTATCTAGGGCAACTGTTCACCTGAAGATGGGATTACTTAAAGGCTGTACCCTTCCTATACTCTTCAGCATCTATTATTATATACAACATCAGAAAATTGTACTGGTTGAGCCCTCAGATGCCATCCGTCCCTAACATTCTCTTATTCCATAGTCTAAGATATAAAACTCTCCTCAGTGAACAGAAAACTTTCTGACAAATCACAACCATAGAGCATTTGTGACAGTGTTAGCCTGCAGGTGATGCTGTGGTGTAAGAAGAATTAAGAGATGATGAGGGACACATCAAATAATAGCAACAAAAAGATGTTTTTAAGGATTCTGTTTACATCCCACATGTGAGAGCAGGTTTCCCCTGCTCCAGCATCTCTGTATGAAAGGACTGGGGTTGATTTCCCGAACAGGGCAGAAAGCAGAGGGTGTGTGTTCTCGCCAGCTGGACCTTGCTATCTAAAAGGATGTCCTGTTTACATCTGGCACCAGAGCCATGATTGCACTCCTTGAGCGCCCAGAGAATGGGATAAAACTCAATGAATTTTCACACAAGTTTCAAAAATAACACTCAGCTGACCCTGTCATCATTCCACCTGAGATTGCTTTACCAAAAGCCTCTTTCTAAAGAGTGCTTATGAGAAGGGTGAGGCCATGGTATCCATGGAATGCTTTTTTTTTTTTTTTTGCTGGAAGGATTTTCTTTTCTTCATCCTTTTTCTTTTTCTTCCATTTCTTTTTTATTCCCAACACCCACTTTTTTGGTTCTTTTTCTTTTCTTTTCTTTTCTTTTTTGGA